TAGAACTTGTTGTCCGTGTACGATGTGCCAGCAGGACTAATACTAACTAAATATGGAAACAAATATTTTTAACCCATATAGTGGTGCCATCTTCCTGATCAGTTTTGATGTCCAAAATATAGTTCTGCATATGTAAGTTAGTTTTTCTGAGCTTCTTTGCTAGGCAAGATAAAATGTTCACAAACAGTTGTCTTCATACGGCTTTAATTTATGAAATCATTTGTTGTACGTCTAATCTCTCCAAGCTTAAATAGGTGATTTACAAGTGATTGCATTCAAGATGTTTGCAGAAAAAAATAAATACAATTTGGTATGGATAAGTTAGAACAAACTAATAAATTGTCAAGCAATACCTTTATCTTTGCTGACAAAACACTTCTGAGCACATTAGTATGTTCTTGTCTAAATTTGTTTCTGAAATGGTTACGATATTTCATATTGGTTCTATCTCATTCATATTATCTTGCATAATAAATCTCATAATGATGTTCTCTTCTCCAACAGTTAGATTCAAAGATTTGTCACTGCAGCATAAAGGATGTAGCTTTATCACTATGCCATAATGCTAAACTGGCAATGTTTTTACATGTTGGGTTTCCAGGTAGATATGTTGAACATAATCAGATCAGCCCCTTAAAAAAATTAAATCTGCAGTTTGTAGGTATATGAAAATAAAGAGGTGAAAGTCAGTGGCAAAACTGCCCTCATTCACTGGTCACAGAATATTGATTGACAAAGTAGAATAATCCCAGTTAAGTTTCTTATCAGTTACAATATAGGAGGCCATAGGCATCAATGTGCCCATTCACGAGGCTTCCAGATCCTCCTAACTCTATTTAATTATCTGGATTCGATACAGGTCTTTTATGTCTTATTCCAATAGTTAGGCTTTATCTTGTTCTTCTCCTGATGGCACGACAGCTGCTCTTCCTGAGTATCTTCTGTAGTTCTGGAAGAATGGAGTCTTCCATTTTCAGCTGAATGAAATACTGATAGAAGAGAATATTTGTTCTGAAGAAAATTTGTTCTCAGCTGAACTGAAGGCCTGGGAGTCACACACAAGACCTTTATCGGGCTCTTCTCCCACAGGACTCTAAACTTTTTAAAAACAGAAACTGCAAATCGAATTACCTGGCTCTAGTACAGTGATAGCGAACCTTTTAGAGACCGAGTGCCCAAACTGCAACCCAAAACCCACTTATGCATCATCGGGTGCCAGGTGGGTGTGGCACATTGGGTGGGTGTGGCACGTTGGGTGGGTGTAGCCAGTTGGGTGGGCATGGCCCATTGGGTGGGTGTGGCTCATTGGGTGGGCGTGGCTGTGGTGGTAACGGCAGACTGGGTGGGACTAAAAAGTTCAATCAATCAATTCCAACTTTGCAAGATCTTTTTTTCCCCGCGGGAAGTTGAAATTGACTGATTGATTGAACTTTTTTTTTTTTTGCACACGGCGGCGGAGGCCTAAAGCGAAAAGATTTTATAAAACCCAGCTGAAGGCCTAGGACTGGGGCGACGGCGCGCGTGCCCACAGAGAGGGCTCTGAGTGCCACCTCTGGCACCCGTGCCATAGGTTCGCCACGACTGCTCTAGTATCATCGTTATTTCCATGATTGCCTCTTTTCTTCCAAAAATAAAATGTGATATACAAGGACCCAAAATGTTGCCTGAACTAGTTCCTTCTTATTCAAAAAACCAAAAAAATAAAATAAAGCTAGTCCAATTGTGAAGTCCTAGAGACTAAAGAAAAGTTGTTGGGAATAATTTTGCCTACTAGCAAGTGGGTGTTCTTTCCCACAGACCACTCCAGTTATGGCAAATATTTTGTAAGAAGATCCAGAACAGGTTTCCAAAATACCAAATCTGTCCCCAAATTTCTCTCCTGAGTTAGAATATATACCTTATTCTAATAAGCCAATATCATTTCCTTCACAGCTTCTCTCCTAACATTCACTTTCAAAAATTTTACTTTCAGCTAACTACTTTCAAATACTCTATAAGTCTCCAGTATATTTATTGTGAGCTGCCGTCAAATAAATGACCAAATATATTTATTCTGTTCAGATGAATATCAGTGTTAAAAGTAAGCTTAGACCTTTGGCAGGGAAACTGATGCTCAAATAATATTGTTGAACTAGAATGCATAAATTATTTTTGTGAAATGCTGCTTGCCTATTCTCTTAGAAATTTCTTGTAGGACATTTTTCAGGTTCAGTTTCCCTGTAATCATAACACCTATTTATTTACAAGTATGAGAGGTTTCTCTGGGCAGCCATATAAGAAAATTAATTAAAAATGTTAATGCAAGCCACCGGGATATAAACTGACAGCAAACTGCACTCTTCACCAGCACTGATGATGTTACCTAGTTTGGGTAATGAAACGTCTTCAAGAAAACAAGCAAGCTCAGAGAGCACCAGGGACCCTTCATGTCAACCCTGAGCTAGAAATATTCTCCTTTATTAACGAAGGACAATCTTTAGACAACCACTAAGTTGGTAACATGGCAGAAGTGGCCATGGTAGCTTTCTTTCCTCTTTGTCCCACCCACCCTCAATTGTTGCAGCTGGGCAGGGGTTGCCCTAAGCCAGTGGTTCTCAACCTATGGGTCGCGACCCCATTTGGGGTCGATCGATCATTTCATGGGGGTCGCCAAGCAAGGCTGTCCACCATTTTTTTTGTCCGCCATTTTTTTTGTCCATTTTTTCCCCCTTTTCCGGCGGGTGCCTTACCTCCCTTGGGCTGGGCCAGCTAGTGGTCAGCCTGCTCCGTCTCTGCCGCTTGCCAGCTAAGCCTCGGCCGGCGCAGGGGGCGGAACCACGCATGCGCGGCGCTCCCGGGCAGGGAAAGTCCTCGACTTACGACCAGTTGGGTAGTCCTCGACTTACGACCGGTTTAGTCCTCGACTTACGACCGGTTTAGTCCTTGACTTACGACCGGTTTAGTCCTCGACTTACGACCGGTTTAGTCCTCCACTTACGACCGGTTGGGGGTCGCGGCATTAAAAAGGTTGAGAACCACTGCCCTAAGCTCTGATATCATTCACAAGACATCTGAAAGGTTTACCTTGGAGGCCAGAAAGGGCCACTTTCGCTCTTTTGCAAAAGTTGTTGCAATTTCCTTAATTACCAGAGCTAGATTTCTCTACCCTTTATATCAGCATTAAGCCGAACAGAATTAACTGAAAAAATGGGAAAGAGAGGTCTTCACAAAACAAGCCATGCTAATGTTGGGAGTTAGTCTTCTTTTTGAAATTACGTCTCTTTACAAAATGATAACATTCCATCGCCCTAGGAAACTGTGAAGGAGAAATTAAGTCTCCTCCGTCCCTTTTGTATATGATATTCTTGGCTGAATCTTTTGATAGGAGAAGATCCATGGCATCTGCTCAGACAAAAGGCATGTCAGGCTGGCCACTGAATTGTATGACAGCAACATTAGCTTCCTTCTTCACAAGGACCTTTATGCTGGCAGTGATAGTCATCAAATAATGATCTAGTGCTGACATTTCCAAGGACAGTAAAGCTCTAGGCTGTCACTCATCAATTTAACAAAGGGTAAAATCTGATAACTGACAAGTAGAAATGTGTAAATTTTTTTGCTACTTGCTTTTTACCCTCTACTTTCTCAGGCTCTGCTTTTTGGCTTTATGTTTCCAGCTTGAATGCTGCATAGGAAGGCCAATAAAGGGTCTGATTTGTATCCTTTCAGCACATTTTTTTAAAAAAAGGATGCCTTCCACCATGAAACTTAAAAGCCCACTTAAAATTCCTCAAAGCCTTTCTGCAGCTGTTCCTGCAGGCATAAGGGTGGAGAGGCAGAAAAAAAAGTTGTGTTATACTGGGGAGGGATCACAATCAAACCTGGGATCAAAAATCCATAGGACATAAAGAACAGAATAAAATCGGACTGGACAAGCTATGGAGCAAAAAAAGATGCCAGTGAGAGAAAAATGTAGTTAATAATACTGCAAGAAAATAACAACAACAACAACAACAACAACAACAACAACAACAACAACAATAATAATAATAATAATAATAATAATAATAATAATAATAATAATAATAATAATAATAATAATAATAATAATAATACGATATCTGTAATACCATCAAACATCCACATCTGCCTATCCCAGGTCCTGGGTAAGGACTCGATAGGTAGACAAAATGCCAAATCCAGTCTGAACATCTGGCTGACTGTGCGATGATCCAGATAATAATAATAACAACAACAATGATAACAACAATGATAACAATGATGATGATGATGATGATGATGATATCATCATCATCATCATCATCATCATCATCATCATCTCTTCCTCCTCCCCTTCCTCCTTTCACAATAAGAGTTGTGGCCAGAATGTCATGCCTGACATTTCCTTTTGCAAAGAATCAAATACTCTTTGAAAGCCATGGGATTATATAACAGGAAATGAATCATAACTGGATCACCTAGATTAAGAAGTGCAGAGCTCTGCTTAGCAAAGGAAAATATTTATTGTGATCAGATGAGTATCAGTAGTAGAACTGACCCAGGGCTGTTGATTAAAAGGGACCTAATAGCTGAAAAATTAACAATTTCTAAAAGTGATTAGAAAAGAAAGTATGTGAATCCAGCGTCATTTTAAAGGCACCGAGTGATGTTTGAGAAAGAGGGCTGTCCCCTTGTCTCTCAGAACTCTAAACTCGCTGGAGGCTGCTATCTTCTCATGAGGAACAAGCACTTGGAGCATCTGTGGGTAATCTGAAGTTCTCAGGCACCCAATAGGCTCAATGTTTAAAAACAGCAAGAAGCACCATCTTTCAGTAGGAAATTCCACCCTGAATCTCGTCCCAGCATCCGTTTTTGAATTTGGGTTGAAATTTATTTATTTATTTGCTTCCTGGGCATCAGCTTCTAGAAAGAAACAATTGAAAAGCCAGTCTACTTCATTCCATTGTGATCATCAGCTTTGCCTTTCATGGTGGAATGAAACTCAGCACAGCCAGTTCGGTATGCCCAGCTCGCCACCACCAAATCGCCTTTGCCAGCTGACCACTGCAAAGTCATCACAGGACAACTTAACATACCCAATTTGCCATGGGGACAGCTTGCTATGGACAGCTGGAGAGAGAGATGGGCAGGCAGGAAGGTGAGTGGGTGGGCAGAGTGCAGAGTACAGAGTGGTGGTGGTAGCTGGGGGCTTCCTATTTTCACTCATCCCCTGCTATTACTACTGCTGCCGCAGGCCATTCAGCAATGGTGGCAGTGTTCAGGCAATGGATCTCTTTTCGGCACAATGACAGCAACAGCAGCAGCAGGGTGTGTGAAAATGGGATGTGCCCAGCCTCCATCGTCTCCCCACCAACTGCCCCACCCACCGCTGCCACTACCAAATGGCATGAACACTGCTGATGCTGCAGAACAGCCTGCAGTGGTGGCAGAGGATGTGTGTGTGAAAATGGCCATTGCCACCATCACTCTGCACTCTGCCCACCCACTTGCCCGCCTGGTTCTCACTCCAGTTGCCCATGGCAAGTTCTCCTCGAGGTCAATTGGCGTTGAATTGTTCTGTGATGACTTGGAAGCGGTGAGTTGGCAGAGGTGACTTGGAAGTTTGACAATAGTTGGCAATATATAACTGGAATGTTGGAATTTTGTAAACAAAAGAAGCTTTGTTCAAATCATGTTGAAACTTTGCTAGACCTCAGTTTGAATTTTGAGATTATTTGCAACATTCTGAGACCAGGATTTTTGGCTTTGTTATGCTTTCTTAGAAAATAAATTCTTATTATGTATCAGAGGAGCTAAACCAGATAACTGGTGGTTCCTTCAGAAATCTTTTAATGTGTTTGTTGGCTTGTTTATTTTTGTGAAACTGCAAGAGATGTGTCAATGAAGATTTTTGTTAGACATTCAGATATTAGTCATTTTGTTAATCCAACAATTGATATAATTGGCAATTTCTGCTCAGAGACAGAAGGCAGAATTGACAGAATTAAGCAAAGTAACTTGCACTGTCTTCCCACGGTCTCCCTGTATATTTGAATTATAATGGGATGAATTATAATGGGTAAATAGAGATTTTAAAAGTACATAGTCACATATTAAGAACTGCATTTTATAAATAGAAAATGGTGGCTGTGACACAGCAAGCAATATCTTTTGCATCTGCTTAGACCAAATCCTAAAAATAACTGTAAAGATCATGTATCTTCTAATTCAGCAGATGCTTTGGTTAAAACTATTGTGATGTGTGACAAAGAAGACAGTCAGGATCCTTCTGCATCTACTATATTGCCTTTATTATAATAGATTTGGAATTTATTATATTTCATGCTTTTTAAAAAAAATGATGTAATGTAAGGCTGGCATTAAGACCACTACCATGTTTCTTCTAGAATAGGGTATTCCTAAACATAATAAGATACCTCTGGGACAGAAGTAAAAGCTGAAACATCATAAATAAATGCTTAGATAGTAGTGATAGAAATAGATATGGAGGGAGAATACTGAACCAGAAAAAGTTCAGGAGCAAGAATTACTAAATTCTCTCTCTCGGTTTGCAACCCAGAGAAGATATCGATCCCATTAATAAACCTGGAAGTGTAAAAGAGAATGTAGTCATGTTGAGACTCTAGAAAGAGTGCAGAGAAGAGCAACAAAGATGATTAGAGGACCGGAGGCTAAAACATATAAGGAACGGTTGCTGGAATTGGGTATGTCTAGTTTAATGAAGAAAAGGACGAGGGGGGACATGATAGTAGTGTTCCAATATCTCAGGGGCTGCCACAAAGAAGAGGGAGTCAAGCTATTCTCCAAAGCGCCTGAAGGCAGGACAAGAAGCAATGGGTGGAAACTAATCAAGAAGAGAAGCAACCTAGAACTAAGGAGAAACTTCCTGACAGTTAGAACAATTAACCAGTGGAACAACCTGCCTCCAGAAGTGGTGAATGCTCCAACTGGAAGTTTTTAAAAAGAGACTGGACAGCCATTTGTCCGAAATGGTATAGGGTTTCCTGCCTGAGCAGGGGGTTGGACTAGATGACATCCAAGGTCCCTCCCAACTTTATTGTTATTGTTATTGTTGTTATCATTATCTTGGCTCAAGATTCTCCATTGTTTATATAATAATATTTTATTATCAAATCCAGATTTTGATGACCTGGTTCTTGCTGTCTTCTTTCTTCCTGTTGTAGAAGTCATATATAACTCGTAAATAAAGAATTTAAGAATGAAGGCATAAATTTCTTATTTTCCATATTCTGGCTCCCTATTTCTAATAGGGAGCTTGATAAGTAGGAGTTTTATCTTATTTCTTGAATTGTACAGTATTGCTCTGTTTTATTTGTATCTTACTTAGATTTCCCAATACCATCAGGTCAGAAACAAAATTGTGACCGTTCAGTGATGGTTTCTTTTCCATCTTGTATTTACCATGATTACCAAATCTAAATAATTTCTTCTATCAGCAAATTCTAGAAAACAAGGAAGTAATGTGGTATTTATTTCTGTACAAGAAAACAAAAATCACAGTAATCTTTATATCAAGGTGCCTAAGTTTTCCAATATAGGGGGACAAAACATTGCATGTTTCTCACTTTAATCCATTGGTGACAAATTTGTTTTGATTTATTGATTTCTTGGGCATGAATGAGTGAGTGATCAGTGAGTGAAAAGAAGGGCATATTGTTTTGATGGTATTTATTGTTTCTGCTCTCGTTGACCTACTAGTGATAGTACCAGGTTATGCTTCAGAAAGAAAAAAAACAAGCATGAAAATTAGACCCAAAACTATATTGTTGGAAATGTTATCAAGTGCATTGCAAGTGTTACAACGCTCTTGAGAATAAAAGTGGTTTGTTTTTTTTTTAAAAAAAAGCAAATTAAAGTGTACCAGAAAATTATTTTGTTCATTTCTTTTGAGATTCACACACACACACACACACACACACACACACACACACACACACACACACACGCGAACAAAGAAACCCTGAATCCAGGGCAAAAATCTTAGCTGACTCATTTCTTTCGATTTCAGAGACCATTGTCAAGCTTCCCCTCCTTGCATAACTCCTCTTAAAAAGAGAGAGAAAGCTGATTAAAGAATAGGGCAACTCTGAATCAGTACTGAAAGAGCTTAACATAAGAATATGCATAACCATCTTAACTCCTCCAGTTCCATGAAATACTGATGCCATCACATTGAAAAGCAAGGGGGGGGGAGGGAGAAGGAGAGGGAGAAAGAGAGAGATGCTGGATGGCCTTATCAAGTATGGATTACTTCAAATATAATTCATCTGCAACACCTTTGATCAGCATTAACAAGGCTCAGATGAAGGGCAAGAAACTTCCTGAATCTACAATTTTTGAATAGAATAGAGCCGGAAGGGACCTTGGAGGTCTTCTAGTCCAGCTCAAGGAGGAGAACCTATACCATCTCAGACAAGTGACTGTCTAGCCTCTTCTTAAAAATCTCCAGTGAAGGAGCACCCATGATTTCTGGAGGCAAGCTGTTCCACTGGTTAATTGTCCTCACTGTCAGGAAATTTCTCCTTAATTCTAGGTTGCTTCTCTCTTTGTTTAGTTTCCAACCACTGTTTCTTGTCCTGCCCTCTGGTGCTTTGGAGAATAACGTGACCCTCTCGTCTTTGTGGCAGCCCCTCAAATACTGCTATCATGTCTCCCCTGTTTCTTCTTTTCTTTAGACTAGCCAAACCCAAGTCCTGCAGCCGTTCTTCATATGTTTTAGTCTCCAGGCCTTTGATCGTCTTAGTTGCTCTTCTCTGAATTTTTTCCAAACTCTCAACATCTTCGGTGACCAAAATTGGCTGCAGTATTGCAGGTGTGGTCTTACTAGGTTTTTATAAAGCAGTAATAATACATTAGAACAATTCAGACATTAGAACAATTCAGACAGTTACTACCATAATTAAACTCTTGGTACTTGTTCAATCAATAGATCACATATAGAGAATACTGTAAAAACATGGATTTCAGTAAAGCAAATAAGAAAACATTCTTTAGATTGACTGCACATAAAAATAGAAGATAGCCTCCAAGGTATCTTTTTTTCTTACATAATGACAGGAATTGTTTTGAACACAGCAATGGGGCAATGGAGGATATCATAATATGTAGTTGAGGTGACTTGCTGTTAAGGCTTCTGTCTGCTCCTTAACTGAGATGTTAATTTTCTGACCAGCAATTATAAGCAAATATCTTTGGAAGGCAATTAGCTTAAACTACTTCAGTGGAACCATGAATCCATGAATAAAGTCTAATAAAATCAGTATAGTTTAAATGGGTACACAGAATGAAAAAGACTGCTTCACCATAAAGCCAAAAAATGAAGGAGACATTAAGAAAATGCAATAATCTCCAATATGATATAGTTTAATAGAGGATTTCCCAATCTGGGGATTTTCAGATATGTTGTTGTTTATCTCCTCCTTCTCCATTTCCACCCTCCCCTTCCCCATTTCTGTGGATTTGACCAAATGGAGAATGATGAATCCCTTCCTTGCTTCAGGGAGATATCTGGATTTATAAGTCTAAAGAAATGTAGAAGTTACATCCAGTGCTGATCATCCTCACATGCTCCATGTAGTGAACCAGGCCCCCCAAACCTAGCAAAGAAATCTCTGCTCAGAAAGCAGCAAGAAAAAATGCTCTGTTTCACCAAATGGGGGGAGGAGTCCAGCCCCTCCCTTCCCTGCCAGGGATTGCAATCTCTGCTCAGGAAACAGCAAGAAAAAAGGAGCATTTCTTTAAAGGGAGAGGGGGAAATCCACCCTTTGCCTTTCAAATTTTGCAGTTTTCCTGCTTCCTGTTTGCGAGCACATCTCCGGGTGATTTTTGTTTTGGCGGGGTGCCGAGTTGGCTCCACCTCCAGTTGCCCGTGGTGACTTGTTCTGCACCTACTTGGCCATACCCACCTGGCACCCCCTAGCCAGCTACACCAACATGATTGAGCCCACTTGGCCATGCCTACCCACTCACACCAAGTCATCCGCCCTGAGTCATCTTCCCCGAATGGGCTGCACCTAACCCTTCGTGTCGACCCAGCCATGCCCACTCACCCACGCCCACCTGGCAGCACTCAGATGGCCACGCCTACCTGATCATGCCCACCTGGCTGCAGTGAGT